GAGGGGAGAAGGGATCATCCCGGAGAATAGCCATGAGGCAGGGGGAGGGGGGAAGGGATCATCTCAGAGAATAGCCATGCAGTGAGGTGGGGGTAGGTGTGTGCTACACATCTACCCGAATACTGCAGCCCCTCCTTTTAAATGTGAAACCCAACCCATTGCTTGCTCTGGGAAAGGGGGGCGCTGCAGTTTGAAAACATTCCCACGTTATGAAGGCGTAAGAAGCCAACCCAATTTTACTCTCCCTTTTTATCTCCCGCTAGGTGCAAATGTTTCTACGCTCCCCCTATCATCTCCATCTCTGCGGTTATCGCAGATTAGAAGGCGGAAAAAATGCACTCGCGATACATGTTTTCTGAGCTGATGCAGTCCTCCCACACTGATAGGGCACAGCACAATGCATGGAGGCATTCAGTGGCAGAGGCCAGGAAAGAATTGAGTGAGCGTGAAGAGCGGAGCCAGGACGCGATGCTGAGGCTAATGGGGGAGCAAACGGACATGCTGAAGCGTCTGTTGGGGGAGAAAACGGACATGATGAAGCATGTGTTGGAGCTGCAGGAAAGCCAACAAGAGCACAGACCCCCGCTGCATCCGATGTATAACCGCCTCCCCTCCTCCCCATGTTCCCTAGCCTCCTCACCGATATGCCCAAGAACGTGGGCACCCAGCCACTCCACTCCAGAAGATGGCCCAAGCAACTGAAGGCTGTCATTCAAGCAATTTGATTTGTAGTGAGGCTACAATAAATAATGTGGCCTTGTCCTTCCCTCCCCCCCCCACCCCACCTGGGCTACCTTGTCCATGATCTAATTTTTTTTTTAATTATTAAAGAAAGAATGCATGGTTTCAAAACAATAGCTACTTTATTTCGAAGGGGGGAGGGTAGTTGGCTTACAGGGAATTAAAATCCACAAAGGGTGCGGGTTTGCATCAAGGAGAAACACGCACAACTGTCACACCAAAGCCTGGCCAGTCATGAAACTGGTTTTCAAAGCCTCTGTGATGCGCGGTGCACCTAGCTGTGCTCTTCTAATCATCCTGGTGTCTGGCTGCTCATAATCGGACGCCAGGCGATTTGCCTCAACCTCCCACCCCGCCATAAACGTCTCCCCCGTACTCTCACAGATATTATGGAGCACACAGCAAGCAGCAATAACAATGGGAATGTTGGTTGCGCTGAGGTCTGACCTACTCAGCAAACAGTGCCAGTGAGCTTTTAAACGTCCAAAGGCACATTCTACCATCATTCTGCACTTGCTCAGCCTATAGTTGAACTGCTCCTTACTACTGTCCAGGCTGCCTGTGTACAGCTTCATGAGCCATGGGAGCAAGGGGTAGGCTGGGTCCCCAAGGATAACTATTGGCATTTCAACATCCCCAACGGTAATTTTCTGGTCTGGGAAGTAAGTCCCTTCTTGCAGCTGCTCGAACAGCCCAGAGTTCCTAAAGATGCGAGCGTCATGCACCTTTCCTGGCCATCCCACATTGATGTCGGTGAAACATCCCTTGTGATCCACCAGTGCTTGCAGCACCATTGAGAATTACCCCTTGCGGTTTATGTACTGGTTGGCAAGGTGGTCCGGTGCCAAGATAGGGATATGCGTTCCATCTATCGCCCCACCACAGTTAGGGAACCCCATTGCGGCAAAGCAATCCACTGTGACCTGCACATTTCCCAGAGTCACTACCCTTGAAAACAGAATGTCAGTGATTGCATTGGCTACTTGGATCACAGCAGCCCCCACAGTAGATTTGCCCACTCCAAATTGATTCCCGACTGACCGGTAGCAGTCAGGCATTGCAAGCTTCCACAGGGCTATTGCCACTCACTTCTCAACTGTCAGGGCAGCTCTCATCTTGGTATTCATGCGCTTCAGGGTGGGGGAAAGCAACTCACAGCGTTCCAGGAAAGTGGCCTTACGCATGTGAAAGTTTCGGAGCCACTGTGAATCATCCGATACCTGCAACACTATGCGGTCCCACCAGTCTGTGCTTGTTTGCCTGGCCCAGAATCGGTGTTCCACTATATCAACCAGCCCCGGTGCCGCCATGATGTCCCAATTGCCACAGCCCGTGCTTTCAGGAACGTATGTGTCCATGTCCTCATCAAAATCCTCCTCGTGCTGGTGTCTTTTAGCCCGGTTCTGCATATACTCAAGGATAAGCGCAGATTTCTGACAACTTGGAGAAATTTGCTATTGAGACTGAGCTCATTTACAAGAGCAGGAGAGCAGAGTTGCAGCGGAAGCTGTGGATGATGACGGTTAGCAGTCCTACTGCACCATCTGCTGACAGCAGCACCCAGGACACAACAGCAGCAGTGACCGTGAGCTTGGCTGAGCGGGCTCCATGCTTGCCATGGTATGGCGTCTGCACGGAAAAAAGGCGCGAAACAACTGTCTGACGTTGCTTTCCCGGAGGGAGGGGCGACTGACGACATGTACCCAAAACCACCCGCGACAATGTTTTTGCCCCATCAGGCATTGAGAGCTTAACGCAGAATTCCAATGGGCGGCGGAGACTGCGGGAACTGTGGGATAGCTACCCACAGTGCACCGCTCCGTAAGTTGATGCTAGCCACGGTAGTGAGGACGCATTCCGCCGACTTAATGCTCTTAGTGTGGACATACGGAATCGACTGTATAAACTCAATTTCTAAAAATCAACTTCTATAAAATCGACCTAATTTCGTAGTGTAGACATACCCTGACACTCACTGCCATGGAGCTTTTTTTGCTGTGCAGACCTACCCCCAGGCTCCCTGCCAATTCCAGAGGGGTCAGTCTGCCCCTTTCTCCTTCTGGGGATAAGAAGTCCAGCACCGTGCACTTCCTTTGGATGAGAGCTCAGAACCCAGGGTTCTGTGTGCTGCAGAGCTAAAAGGTACTTCTCAAAAGAATGAGAATTTGCTGTTGTGTGCCTTTAGGTGCCGCCCTCCACCCCAGAGCTGGCTGCATTTCAGTGGGGCTGCGTGGATAGTGTGTGCAAAGTGCTTTGGGATGTAAGTTGCTGGAAGAATGTAGATGAAGACGAGCAGCTGTTACAGTGAGAGTTGGATGGAGCTCCCGAGGGAGGGGCTCCAAGCGCAGTTAGCATTTCAGAATGTGATCCTGCAAGTCCTCTGTGTTCAGAGCCACTAGGGACTTCGGTGCATGGGGCGCTTCAGCTCTGGGCCTCCCACCCAAGCTCACCCCTTTGCGACGTGAATTTTTCCATCTAAGTATGAACCAATGGATTTCATACAAGGAGGCTCAGGAGTGACCCTCCTGCCTCATGCTCTCCCCACTCTCTGGGAGCGTGCCAGCTCCACCACAACCAGGGGGCTTCCCCCATCACAGCTGGATCAGGGCTCAGCCCTGGCTGAAATTCACCAGGACAAGACTGTAGATTCTAGACTGTAGAAAGAGGAAGTGAACTGGATTGGTGACATGGAGCCAGGAAACAAAATTACCTCGACCCTCCCTGCATACTCAGCCGTGTGTGTGTGTGTGTGTGTTTTGGATACACAGATGATGCACCCACAAGACATGCACATGAAAGCTTGTCTCTCTCACCCAGAAATTGGTCCAATAAAAGCTATTACCTCACCCTCCTTGTCTCTCTAATACCCTGGGACTGACACGGCTACACCAACACTGCATAAGACATGAACATAGCAGTTAATGTGACACCACATCTATATAAAGCAAACAAGGTGCAGCACCACTCAACTACCTCATGCCCTTGTCCCCCATTTCTCTTTCCACTCTGTTTTGTCAGCTTATGCCCCTACATAGACTGTCAGCTTTTCAGAGCAGGGACTGTGTCCTTTTGATTTGTTCACTTGGTGCCTTATTAATAATGCACAGCTGTTTGTCTTCTAGAGGCAGCACCCTTCCCTCTGAGTTCCTACTGAACTGGTACCTCGGACTGGCTCTAGGGGTGCTGTACTGCTGGAGGTGCTGCATTCCAGCGTGGTGTCCTGGCTCAACACGGGGGCTAGACTTGATGACCTCTCCAGGTCCTTTCCAGCCCTGCATTTCTGTGATCGAGGACAGGTCCTGATTGCTTGAGTCATAGTGATACTGCAGCAGGAGCGCCTTACCCGGTCTGTCTCCATGCTAACTGCTGCTGCCTCAGTTCCTGGGGCCGATTGCTTGGCTGCATTCAGCGCCGCGGGAGGGGTGCTGGCCTGTCTCCCCAGCTGATGAGGGACTCACGGCCTTGTCAAGAGTCTCTTTCCAGGCACAGGTTTCAGAGTACCAGCCGTGTTAGTCTGTATCAGCAAAAAGAATGAGGAGTACTTGTGGCACCTTAGAGACTAACAAATTTATTTGAGCATAAGCTTTCGTGGACTAAAACCCACTTCATCGGATGCATGCAGTGGAAAATACACTGCATGCATCCAATGAAGTGAGTTTTAGCCCACGAAAGCTTATGTTCAAATAAATTTGTTAGTCTCTAAGGTGCCACAAGTACTCCTGTTCTTTTTCCAGACACAATTTTAGTCTCCAAATGTAAAACTTGGGCAGACATTAAACCCAACAGCAGTTCCTCCGCCCACCCAGGGCTTTTCCCCCTCTGTCTCTCTCAGTCCCTTCGGCTCCAGGGGCTATTGCAGGATCCCCTCTCCCTCCTCCAGCTGAGCTAAACCCCCTTTCTTATAGAACACACCTGACCCCTTCAAGCTGGGGCTGATAAAGTGAACAGGGCTGGCTGGCCCCAGGCCCCCTGACCCTTAAAGAGCTGGAGTGTTTGCCTCGGTGTCCTGGCCAAATTCCAGTGTGAATAACTGCATTCTGGCAAGGTTCCCAGCTGAATGCGCTGTAATATCTTTCTGGTCCTAAACCATCATGTAGGGTTGCTGGTAAACAAGTGCTGTGTCCCACCCCAGAGGTGGCTGCATTTCAGCCATGGGTAAAGGGACAGTGCAGTATCTGTAAAGTGCATTGGGATCCTTTAGGATGAAAGTTGCTCCACAAACCCTGACCCCAGCTGCCTGATGCTTTCTGTGTTCCTAGATAACCTGTGGAGTGACCAGAATCTGGAGACAGAGCCTGACCTTCCCCCAGGATGGAGGAAAATTCACGACTCCTCAGGGACCTACTACTGGCATGTGCCCACGGGCACCACGCAGTGGCAACGGCCGTCGTGCACTTCTGGCCTGGGAGGGAGCCTGGCGGCTAGCGGAGAAGCTGCATTGCAGGAAACGGTACAGAATGCCAGGAGAAGGTCGGCTTTAGTCTTAGCACTGCCAGTTCCATGTGGGAGGAATGAGATTAGATCAATCACCTCCGGTCACCCTGGGAGGGGAGATGGCCAGGGCTAAGTAGGGCTGTGTCAACAGGGGGGCTTGCACCCACCAGGAACACTCATCTGCACACAAGCTCCATGTGCTTTCTGGTGGCCTTCTCACGAGTCTCTTCTCCTGTCTCTGCTCAGGATCTACCAGCAGCCGCAGTAAAGCTCGCATCCGAGGAGAGACCCGTCCCCAGTCCAGTGGCATCGTTGCCCAGAAGGTAGGGCTCGCCGCACAGATTACCTTGCCAAAGCATGCCTGGTTAGGACAAACCCCAGGGGAGAGAAGTCACTGGCACCTTGTCATGTTCGCCTCCCTGGGTTAATCCCTATTGCCAGGGCCGGCGCTTCCACTAGGCGACCCTAGGCGGTCGCCTAGGGCGGCAGGATTTCGGGGGCGGCAATTCAGTGGCGGGGGTCCTTCCGCTCCGCGTCTTCGGGGCGCTTCGGCGGCGGGTCCTTCACTCACTCCGGAACCCGCCGCCGAAGTGCCCCGAAGACGTGGAGCAGAAGGATCCCCGCTGCCGAATGCTCTGAGGAGGAGCGCTGCAACCTAGGGCAGCAAAAACCCTTGCACCGCTCCTGTCTGTTGCTAGGGTTTGACTTAGCCCAGCTTTCATCCCAAGTGGTGGGTCCCGCTCCTTCCCTGGGGAGACAATTCCACAGCCATGGGTGCCTCACAATCAGGAAGCCGTTTCCTGACAATCAAACTATATTTTCCTCTTAATTTCATCCCATTCCTCTTAGTTCCATGCTCAATCCTCCTCTAAGGAACCTCCTTCTCCCCGGGCTGCATGGTGTCAGCTATCTGTCCCCACATAGTCACTGCTGAGCACCTGGCATGCAGGGAACCCCTTCCCCTCAGCCACTCCTTCCGGCCTCCTCAGCACTCATGAGTCTCCTCTCTAAACTTCCCAGTTTGTCCCTGGCTGTTTGGCCATGTGACACCCAGGGATGAATTAAACCATCCTGACCTCCTGCCCCAGCTCTGAAGAGTGGGACTTGCCCTCCCTGCTCTGGGAGGCAATGCCTTTGCATGGGCAGCCCCCAAATCCACTGGCTTAACTTGCAGCCATGTGCCAGTAAATCTACACATGGAGAAACTCTCTTACTGTCAACATCTGGCTAGGCAGCTAACTAAGGGGAATCAAACCTCATGCTTCAGGGCTATGGCCAGCAGGTCAGGAGGGAACCCCTCTCCTCACCTGAGCAGCATTGCAGATTGGGCCAGGTGCCTCGTGGGGTGTATCTTGTTTATCACTTCCTCAGAAGAGTCAGGTACCAGCTACTGCAGGCGGCAGGATGCTGTGCTAGGTGGGTTGGCATGGCTTGATCTGTTAGGGCAAATGCCGCATCCCTGCTTGGCACGCTGGAGAATGTTGGGATTATACTTGCTTTTTCATGTGCCCTTCACAATGGTAAATGAGGGCATGTCATACTGTTTGGATCAGGAGCAGCCAACATCTTCCCAAGCCAGACAGTGTCTCAGGAGAGAGAGAACTCGTCCTGATCCCAGGGGTGGGGCTGGGCACAGAGCTTGGGGGAGGGAGAGAGGAGAGGGTTCACCCTGATCCCAGGGGCAGTGGGGCCAAGAGCTTGTGTTGTCTCTGCATTGGATCATGAAGTGGGGCCCGTGTCACAGCAGATGAGTGGATTCCGGAGACCAGGGTCGGGGTGCTGCGGGCACATGCTTACACCTCTTATGGGAGAGCCCTGTTTGTTGGTGCTGCCCATGGGAGAAAAGGGCTGGTTCTCTTTGCTGTGGGATCATACGGACTGATGGGGAAATGGGAAGGAGGGGTCCTGTGACTAGACCGCCCAGGCCCCAACTCATGGCTCTTTGGTGGCCTGTGTGGAAGCAGCTGGTGGGCCTGGGTCCAGTTCCTAGTGGGGCAGGGTCTCTATCAAGAAACCCCACCCCAGTGAGCACCCACCAGGCCAGGCCAGGGCGAGTTAGCAATGCCTTCCAGCCCTAGGCAGGGTCAGACACGGTGCCCTCACTGCTCTGGGCAGAGGCAGAGGCCCTCAGCCTGCTGGGCTCCTGCTGCTGCTCCCTGCCATGCCCTGCTCATTGCCATGGCTAATGCCGTGCCTTCCTTTACAGGACCTTCATGCCCTGGCATGGGGAGGAGTTCCCTCCTGGCGCCACAGAGCCTGGCTCCAAGGTACTGTCACCGAGGGGCCATTTGGTGCAGGCTCTGGAAGGGAGTTAGTGTGTGGGAGGGGGCTCAGGGGCTGGGACAGGGGGTTGGGCTGATCTAGTGGAGGGGTTTGGGCCCTAGGGGCTGTTGGTGTGGCTGGGCTGCTCCTGTCCAGTGGCCATGGGCAGCCTCCTGAGGCGCATTTCAGTACCCAGCATGCTCTCATGACTCCCTTGCTGGCTGTGAGTGAGCCCTGGGAACAGACAGAGAGTGGGTGGAGCCCTGAATTCTCACCCATATGCTCTGCTGGCTTCTTAGAATCACAGGACTGGAGAGGGACTTCAAGAGGTCATCTAGTCCATTCCCCTACACCCAGCGGAACCTCCAGAGGCATAGGATGGTGCTGGTAGCTGGGCTAGCTGGGGCATTGGGCCCAGTTGATTGATGTTCAGAGTCCTGGGAGGCTGGCATTGCAGTGCCCCCAGAGGGTTGGCTTGGCAGAAGCTGTTTATACTGTATCGATTAGCCCTCTGCCCAGACTGGGTCGCTATATTGGCCTTGGCTCTGTCAGGCTCAATGAGGCTGAGGGGAGCTGGTGGGGGGGTCTGGGCTGTTGCTGAGTGTGACCCCCATGTGTCTCCCCCTTCAGTGCTTCGTTGTGCGCTCCCTGGGCTGGGTGGAGATCCCGGAGGAGGACCTGGCCCCGGGCAAGAGCAGCATCGCGGTGAATAACTGCATCCAGCAGCTCTCGCAGAGCAAGTGTGAGGGTCGGGACCCCGCGGGTAGCTGGGGTGAGGTGAGTCCCTTTCCTGACATGGGGGTGCCACTGGGTGCCACGGGTGCCTGGGAGGAGCGCGGATCTGCTCACAAGAGTCAGGACGCTGGCCCCAGAGTCTTGGCTTCCATCAAGCCTGGCTAGTGACTCTCCATGGGGATCTCCTGCCATCTCAGTAGCAGCCGCAACTCTGCCCGATTCAGGGTCACTGGGCAGAGGGTGAGAGTCACTTCCCATGTGCCCCCAGCCTGCTCCTCCATCCTGATCCCAGACGCAGGCACTGCCCTCCCCAAACAATGCATCCTGGGGGTGCCCTCAAAGCTTCTGGTGGGGGAGAGGGTGTCCCATCCCCACCTGCCTCTGGCCACCCCTCTGGCATGGGTGGGAGGGGAAGCTGGTCAGCCTGGGGAGGGGAAGGGGAGGCCTGTGCGCTGAGCGCCCCTGCTCTCTCCTTGCAGGACCAGAACATGGTGATGATTCTGAAGAAGGACACAATGAGCTTACTGGACCCTCTGGATCATAGCCTGATCCACTGCCAGCCCATCATCAACATCCGTGTCTGGGGGGTGGGCTGCAACAATGGCAGGTGAGTGGCCGAGGGGTTGGGGGGCTGCTGGAGCTCGCTCTGGCGGAGCCCTTGCCACCCTGGTACAGCAGGCGCACTCCCTGGCGTGTGGGTAGGACTGCCCCGTGTCCTGTAATCCAGCCTCCAGTGACATTTGAAACTGCTCTGTGATCCCTTAGGGTCTGGTGCCAGGACGTGGTGTCACCCCAGCAATGGGGCATCGCTGCACATAGCACAATGCCGGGCATTGCAGCCCAGGGCTGGCATGGCACCCTTGCACTGTACCTGCTGGGACACAGGGCATTGCTTGGTACTGCTGCTGGTTCTCTGCAGTGGGCCTTTCCTCCCCTCCCAGCAGGGAAGTGCTGGTGAGGGGTGCGTTGAGATGCACGTCCCGGCTCGCTGCTGCCACACAGGAATCAGTGCATTAACTGCTGTCTCCTTTCCTCTCTCCACACGCTGCCACGCTGGCTGCAGGGACAGGTAATGTAGCTCGGCTTCCATGGGCGGGGCCGACGCCCCACCCCCATCCTCCTGCTCACCCCACTCTCCTCTCCTTGCAGGGATTTTGCTTTCGTGGCCAGCGACAAGGACACATGCATGCTGAAGTGCCATGTCTTCCACTGCAACGTGCCTGCCAAAGCCATCGCCAAGGCCCTGCATGAGATGTGCTCCAAGGTGTGCTCCCAGGGACATGCTGCCCAGCATGCTTGGGCCTGTCCCAGCCTGGCTCCCTCAGCCCTGCTGAGCTGTTGGCAGGGAGTCCTGAGCCCACATGCCCCTTCACTCCTTTAGATCAGGCTTCTCCTGGGCTAGCAGCCAGGTTCCACTCCTGTTGGCAGGTGTCTCCGAACCGGACATGTTCCAGGCCTCTGGCTGTTGGGAGGCCTCCCAGAGCAGCATCCATGCTTGGGAACAGCATGAGGCAGGACCAACAGGAGTCGCTCCCTGATCCAACGCGGACCATCCAGCCTGGCCCTGGGGAGTGGAGACCATGGCAAGGACACTGATGAGCACTGTGGGTGAAGCACAGGGCTGGGAGTCAGTAAGATCTGAGTGCCAATTCCTGCTCTGCCACAGACTTGCTGTGTAGCCTCAGACAGGTCATTGCCCCACTGTGTGCCTCAGTTTCCCCACCTGATCATAGAATCATAGAATATTAATGTTGGAAGAGACCTCAGGAGGTGATCTAGTCCAATCCCCTGCTCAAAGCAGGACCAACACCAACTAAATCATCCCAGCCAGGGCTTTGTCAAGCCGGGCCTTAAAAACCTCTAAGGATGGAGATTCCACCACCTCCCTAGGTAACCCATTCCAGTGCTTCACCACCCTCCTAGTGAAATATTGTTTCCTAATATCCAACCTAGATCTCCCCCACTGCAACTTGTGACCATTGCTTCTTGTTCTGTCATCTGCCACCACTGAGAACATCCTCGTTCCATCCTCTTTGGCACCCCTCCCTTCAGGTAGTTGAAGGCTGCTATCAAATCCTCCCTCACTCTTCTCTTCTGCAGACTAAATAACCCCAGTTCCCTCAGCCTCTCCTCGTAAGTCATGTGCCCCAGCCCCATAATCATTTCCATTGCCCTCCTCTGGACTCTCTCCAATTTGTTCACATCCCTTCTGTATTGGGGGGAACAAAACTGGACACAGTACTCCAGGTGTGGCCTCACCAGTGCCTAATAGAGGGGAATAATCACTTCCCTCGATCTGCTGGCAATGCTCCTACTAACACAGCCCAATATGCCGTTGGCCTTCTTGGCAACAAGAGCACACTGCTGACTCATATCCAGCTTCTCGTCCACTGTAATCCCCAGGTCCTTTTCTCCAGAGCTGTTGCTTAGCCAGTCGATCCCCAACCTGTAGCGGTGCATGGGATTCTTCCTTCCTAAGTGCAGGACTCTGCACTTGTCCTTGTTGAACCTCATCAGGTTTCTTTTGGTCCAATCCTCTAATTTGTCTAGGTCACTCTGGACCCTATCCCTACCCTCCAGTGTATCTACCTTTCCCCCCAGCTTAGTGTCATCTGCAAACTTGCTGAGGATGCAATCCATCCCATCATCCAGATCATTAATAAAGATGTTGAACAAAACCGTCCCCAGGACTGAATGCTGGGGCACTCTGCTTGATACCAGCTGCCAACTAGACATTGAGCTGTTGATCACTACCAGTTGAACCCGACAGTCTAGCCAGATTTCTATCCACCTTATTGTCCATTCATCCAATCCATACTTTTTTAACTTGCTGGCAAGAATACTGTGGGAGACTGTAGCAAAAGCTTTGCTAAAGTCAAGATATATCACATCCACCACTTTCCCCATATCCACAGAGCCAGTTATCTCATCATAGAAGGCAATCAGGTTGGTCAGGCATGACTTGCCCTGGGTGAATCCATGTTGACTGTTCCTGATCACCTTCCTCTCCTCCAAGTGCTTCAAAATGGATTCCTTGAGGACCTGCTCCATGATTTTGCTGGGGACTGAAGTGAGGCTGTAGTTCCCAGGTTTTATTTCTTCCCTTTTTTAAATATGGGCACTATATTTGCCTTTTCCCAATCGTCCGGGACCTCCCCCGATCATCACGAATTTTCAAAGATAATGGCCATTGGCTCTGCAATCACATCAGCCAACTCCCTCAGCACTCTTGGATGCATTAGATCCGGACCCACGGACTTGTGCATGTCCAGCTTTTCTAAATAGTTCTTAACCTGTTCTTTCACCACTGAAGGCTGCTCACCTCCTCCCCATACTGTGCTGCCCAGTGCAGCAGTCTGGGAGTTGACCTTTTCTGTGAAGACCGAGGCAAAAAAACCATTGACTTCTTCAGCTTTTTCCACATCATCTGTCACTATGTTGCCTCCCCCATTCAGTAAGCGTCCCAAACTTAGTCTTTCCCTGACCTTCTTCTTGTTGCTAACATACCTGTAGAAACCCTTCTTGTTACGCTTCACATCCCTGCTAGCTGCAACTCCAGTTGTGCCTTGGCCTTCCTGATTACACCCCTGCATGCTCGAGCAATATTTTTATACTCCTCCCTAGTCATCTGTCCAAATTTCCACTTCTTGTAAGCTTCCTTTTTGAGTTTAAGCTCACCGAAGATTTCACTGTTAAGCCAAGCTGGTCAACTGCCATATTTGCTATTCTTTCTGCACATTGGGATGGTTAGTTCCTGTGCCCTCAATAAGGCTTCTTTAAAATACAGTCAGCTCTCCTGGACTCCTTTCCCCCTCATAAACAACAAGCAGTCTGGTGGCACCTTAAAGACTAACAGATTTATTTGGGCATAAGCTTTCGTGGGTAAAAAACCTCACTTCTTCAGATGCATGGAGTGAAAATTACAGATGCAGGCATTATATAGTGACATATGAAGAAACGGGAGTTACCTCACAAGTGGAGAACCAGTGTTGACAGGGCCAATTCGATCAGGGTGGATGTAGTCCACTCCCAATAATAAATGAGGAGGTATCAATTCCAGGAGAAGCAAAGCTGCTTTTGTAATGAGCCAGCCACTCCCAGTCCCTATTCAAGCCTAAATTATTGGTGTTAAATTTGCAAATGAATTTTAGTTCTGCTATTTCCCCCTCATATTAGCCTCCCAGGGGATCCTGCCCATCAGTTCCCTAAGGAAGTCTAAGTCTGCTTTTCTGAAGTCCAGGGTCCGTATTTTGCTACTCTCCTTTCTTCCTTTTGTCAGGATTCTGAACTCAACCATCTCATGGTCCCTGCTGCCTAGGTTGCCACCCACTTCTACTTCCCCTACCAATTCTTCCCTGTTTGTAAGCAGCAGGTCAAGAGGAGCACGGCCCCTAGTCGGTTCCTCCAGCACTTGTACCAGGAAGTTGTCTCCAACACTCTCCAAAAACTTCCTGGATTGTCTGTGCATTGCTGTATTGCTCTCCCAGCAGATGTCAGGGTGATTGAAGTCCCCCATTAGAACCGGGGCCTGTGATCTGGAAACTTCAGTTAGTTGTCCGAAGAAAGCCTCGTCTACCTCATCCTTCTGATCCGGTGGTCTATAGCACATGCCCACCACGACATTATCCTTGTTGCTCTCACCTCTAAACTTAACCCAAAGATTCTCAACAGGATTTTCTCCAGTTTCATACTGGAGCTCTGAGCAATCATACCGCTCTCTTACATACAATGCAACTCCTCCACCTTTCCTCCCGTACCTGTCCTTCCTGAACAGTTTATACCCAGTTTATACCCATCCATGACAGTGTTCCAGTCATGTGAACTGCCACACCACGTTTCTGTTATTCCAATCACATCATAGTTCCTTGATTGTGTCAGGACTTCCAATCCTTCCTGCTTGTTTCCCAGGCTTGCATTCGTGTACATGCACCTAAGATAACTAGCCGACTGCCCTACTTTCTCAGTATGAATCAGGAGGCTTCCTGTCTTGTTTTCTCCTCCTTGTGTTTCCTCCCGATATCCCACTTCCCCACTTACCTTTGGGCTTAGGTCACCATCCCCTGGCGAACCTAGTTTAAAGTCCTCCTCACTAGGTTAGCAAGCCTGCCTGCGAAGATGCTCTTCCCTCTCTTGGTTAGGTGGGTCCCATCTCTTCCTAGCAATCCTTCTTCCTGGAACAACATTCCATGGTTGAAGAATCCAAAGCCCTCTCTCCGACACCATCTGCGTAACCACGCATTCACCTCCACAATTCGACGGTCCCTACCTGATGATACAGCTCTCCCTCCCTGAGCTGTACAAGTGCTAATGAGAGTAATAGCTAGCTCCTATATAGTGTGTCTCAAAGGGAAGATGGGGAAACCAAGTCACAGAGACTTGCTCAAGGTCACCAGCAGATCTAGGACTAACATCCAGGTCTCCTGAGTCCCAGGCTAGGGCTCTAGCCACCAGGCCATAGACAGCCACACTCATTTTCCCTGGTACTATCCTGCTACCCAGCAGGGGTGTTTTTACCTGACCACCCAGGGCCTGAGCCCCACCAGCCAGGATCTGAGAGCAGAGGCCTGTGGGAAGTCTCTGTGTGATGGTGTTTCTCTGTGCTGTGCAGATTATGGCCGAGCGGGCAGTGGTCAGCAACAGCCTCACTCGATCCATCACGCTGCAGCCCATCTCGCCGGACAACTTACCGCTGCAAGGTACTCCAGGGCGTTCCTTTCACCCCTCTGCCGCCTGCACATGCCTCCCATGCCACCTGGGGGCACGAGTGACAGGCAAGACCCCATCACCTGCACTCTGCCCACTGATCATTTCCCCCATGCCTACTGCCAGCATCGCCACCCCCTGCAGACTCTGCACAACTCCCATTTTGAAACCTCCGCTAAAGACTTTGCCCACAAATGGTCCTTCCTTTCCCCTAACGCAAGCATCTGCATGAGTGACAGGGTCAAGATCTGATACTTCCTGGCCCACCAACGGGCGGCGAGTTCTATGGGCCCATGGTGCCTGACTCCAGCACTGGTCTCTCCCTCAGCCCCGCCTTCCATCCCTGGGCACCCCCCGCCCCCCAGCATCCTCCCGGGCCATTTAAAACAGCCCGGGGCCCCCACTCACCACCAGCAGCGCAGCGGAGCTGAGCGGCTTCCTGCCTGCTCACTCCACGTGGCTGCCGGCCCCTCCCTGCGGCCCCTGGGCAGGATGGGTCACTGTGCCACCCCAAGCGCCTCTGCGGCCAATGGGAAGCTGCAGGGGCAGTGCCTGGGGGTAGCAGTGCGCAGAGACCCCCAGCCTGCCCTGCCTAGGAGCCCCAGGTAAGCGCTGCACCCCCCCACCTCCTCCCAGAGTCTGCACCCTCACCCCTTTCCCTCACCCCCCTCCTGCCCCCAAACTCCCAGAGCCTGCACCGCCTCCCTCCGCACCCCCTCCCATCCCCAAACTCCCTCCCAGAGCCTGAACCCCCACCCCAGAGCCTGCACCCAAACTCCGTCCCAGAACCTGCTCCCCTCACCCCCTCCTGCACCCCCAGCCCCTGCCCCAGCTTGCACCCAGCACTCAAACTCTGTCTCAGAGCCTGCACCCCCACCCCCTTCCCACACACACCCTCCTGCCCCCAAACTCCCTCCCAGAGACTGCACCCCCACCCCAGAGTCTGCACCCAAACTCTGTCCCAGAGCCTGCACCCCTCACCCCCTCCTGCACACCCACCCCCTGCCCTAGCCTGGAGCCTGCACCCAGCACCCAAACTCCCTCCCAGAGCCTATACCCCAGCCCTCCGCACTCCCTCCAAGAGCCTGCACCCAAACTCCCTCCCAGAGCCTGCACCCCTCACCCCCTACTGCACCCCCACCCCTTGCCCCAGCCCAGAGCCTACAGCCAAACTCCATCCCAGAGCCTGCACCCCTCACCCCCTCCTGCACTCTCACCCCGTGCCCCAGCCCGGAGCCTGCACCCAGCACCTAAACTCCATCCCAGAACCTGCACCCCAGACCCCCTTCCCCACCCAAACTCCCTCCCAGAGCCCAACCTCTCACCCCCTCCTGCACTCCAATCCCCTGCCTCAGCCCAGGGCCTGCACCCCAGACCTCCTCCCCCAACCCAAACTCCCTCCCAGAGCCTTAGGCAGGTGGGGGGCAGAGTTTGGGGGGGTGGGTTCTGGGTGTTCTGGGCACCACCAAAATTTCTGCAAACCTGCTGCCCCTGCCACCAAGGATAGAAACCCTCACCTTGTCCCATGGGACAGCTGGGAACTCCCTGCCCATGGGTACAGGGTGCTCCTTTCTAGCCCTGAAAGGGGCTGAGATATCAGCTCTCAAACTGATGTCCCCTCCCCCCCCCAATTTATAGATAGGAGCTTTGGGCTGTATGCCAGAGGATGGGGCTCCCTCTTTCTCTCCCACCAAGGCCTGCCCCATTGTACCCATGGCAGCCTGTTTTCATAAGCGGGGTGGTGGGGGAGACCTAGCACAACACAACCTTTCCTTGAAAGAAAGGCCTAAGGTGTGCCCTGGGCTGTGCTCAGAGCCTGTGGGGCTGGGCTCAAGGCAGGGGAGCTCCTAAAACGTCTTCAAGAGAAGGAAACAACCCCACATGCACAGAACCAATCCCAGGGTGGTGGAGGGCTGTACCCCAGCAGAATGGCTCGCCTCCTGCTCTCTCTGTCCTGTAAGCCCCGAAGCCAAGCGACTGGTGCTAGGTGGGGAAATCTATGTCACCTGTGCCTAAGACACCAACAGGCATCCTGTAAGCAGGGCAGCCCTCAGGTTGGCCTTTGCCTGGGGGGTAATACAATGAAGCTCCCACCCCTTGGTAAAGAGGTGGGCTTTGTTCAAGGTGGTGAGGAGCTGGAGGAGAACTTGCTCTGGCTTGCTCTTGTCTCTGGCAGTTGATGTTCTGGACGCCGTGAGGCAGTCTATCCAGAAGTACGAAGCCCTGTATATTGGCAGCTTACCGGTGCCCAAAGCCATGGGTGAGTAGCCCTGGGGGGAAGCTCTTGCTACAGTCCCTATGCTGTTACATCATATGGGCTGCTGTGTACTGAAAGAGAACCCGGGGGGAGGGGGGGGATGCTGCACCAACTGAACCGTGTCGGTGGCCGAATGGCCACTGGCCTCAATGGGAGCAGAGTTAAGCCAGCACTGAGAGCTCCTGAAAAGCCCAGCCAGGCTGGGGGGTGGGGTGCGGGCTCTGGGAGGGAGTTAGGGTGCAGGAGGGGGTTCTGACCTGGGGCAGGAGGTTGGGGTGCAGGAGGCGGTGCAGGCTCTGGGAGACAGTTAGGGTGTGGGAGGGGGTTCAGGGTTGGGGTGTGGGGTGTGGGCTCCGGGAGGGAGTTAGGGTGCAGAAGGGGGTTCTAACCTGGGGCAGGAGGTTGGGGTGCAGGAGGGGATTTAAGGTGCTGGCTCCAGCTGGGCGGCGCTTACCTCAGGCGGCTCCCAGAAGTGGCCAGCATGTCCCTCCTCTGGCTCTTAGGCGGAGGGGCCAGGGGGCTCTGTGTGCTGCCCCCGTGGCTGCCTCTGTGCTTAGAAGCTGGACATGCGGGCCACTTCCGGGAGCTGTGTGGAGCTAGGGCAGGCAGGGAGCCTGCCTTAGCCCCACTGTCCCGCTGACCAGATTTTTAACAGCCTGATCAGCGGTGCTGACCAGAGCCACCAGGGTCCCTTTTTGACCGGGCGTTCCAGTCAAAAAACGGATGCCTGGCAACCCTGGAGGGTTTTTTCTTGGGGGGGCGGGGAGAACACTGAGGCCTGGCTGTGCTGTTGGCCGCCCTGGTGTTGGGACACTGAGGCCTAGCTGTGCTGTGGGCTGGCCTGGGGTGTGGCACCAAAGAATCCATGTTGTGAAGCACTGAGGGCTGGTCTGGGGCACTGCTGCTGCCTATATGCCTTGTTGTGTTGCTTCCTGCCCCTGGTCCCCAGGGAGTCTCCCCACTCAGTGTCTCCACTGGCTTCTGCACCAGTGACACTGCACTGTAACCATGGAACTTGCAATCTCTGCAGGATTCGCTGGCAACTCCTGCCAGTCTCTAGCAGGTGCTGCCCATGCCTCATCCTAGCTGAAGGGGCTGCTTGTGCACCCCCTCCCTTCACCCCTCTGGCTGGATGAAGCTGCCTGTAGCCCCCTATCTCTCCCCACCCCACTGGACACCGGCAGCGCAGAGCACTCCCACCCTTGCATTTCCCTCTGGGCAGCACAGCCCTGCTGAGTCCTGTAGGCTGATGGCTTCAGAGGAGCCTGATGGGCGAGTGGTAACTGGCCTCACTGTGCCAGGAGCGGAGGGCGTGGTCCATCCCCTCTGCTCATCTCCCCAGGGATGGACATACTGAACGAGGCCATTGAGACCCTGATGAGCAGCCAAGGCCGTGAGCAGTGGACCCCCTCCCTTGTCAGCGTGTCAGACTCGGTGATGACGGTGCACCAGGCAGAGGTAACATTCCACATGCTTGGCCTTCTGGGGGCTCTACCCCTCTCCTGCTGCTGAGGGGTGCCCACTGAGTGGCTGCCTCTGGAATACAGGGGGTTCACTCATTGAAGCTCCCATGCATCCAGTGGAACGGGCTCTAGGGTGGGTTTGGGGATTTCTTACTGCAGCCCCCACTGCCCTGGAGCCCACCCAGTTACACTTCTCTGGCAAATGCAACCAGAGAACAGGTCCTACTGACCTTGTAGCCAATGCCCTCTCACCTGCCCTCGGCCTGTGGTTCCAAGCCACTCGCTCATTAATGTTGCTAGGCAATGCCAGCAGTGCTCAGGGCTGGCTGAAAGGAGTTCAGCGCTGCCAGCTCGTGGGCTCTGAGGTTTGTCTGGTACTCCACATAGCTGCCATCAATTGTCCTGAAGGGACAGTGAGCACAGGCCTTGGGCAACGAGAGGAGCTCAATGCTGCTGGGGCCCACTCAGCAGCAGGCACAGTGAGGTGCTGGGAAGAGTGTTGCCAACTTGAGCAGTAAATAGGTCAGCTGGGCTGGACTCCTGCTGGAGGTTGCAAGGACGCATAGGGTGTAGGCACCAGGAGGAAGAGGAATGACGTAGGAGGCTCTGAGAGAAAATAAGGTGAAATGACGCCAAGGGAACGTTAGCTGATGGTTGGAGAAGGCTCATTATCCATTAGGCCATGGAGTCGCTTCCCCGTGTACAAGCTGGAAGCTCCATTGCTTGGGAGCCCTGGGGACAGTAGGGGACAAAGTTGTAGGCCCAGAGGGTGGCCTAGTTGGGACATGCTGGGTCTTTTCTACTATGGTTCTTTAGATCCCTCTCAAGTACATTGAGGTAACCCTGAGGCAGGATCGTTTCCTCTCTGCCTGAGTCTAGTGACTGCTCTTGTGTGTGTTCCTTTGAGGCTGGTGAGGAAGACGCCCACATCTTTGAGTGCCAGGTCCGCTACGTGACCTTCATCGGTGTTGGGAAAAACGCTCACACGTTTGCTCTCATCGTAGACATGGGGCAGCAGCATTTCCAGTGCACGGCCTTCTGGTGTGAGCCGGATGCCGGCACCATCTCAGAGGCTGTGCAGGCTGCATGCATGGTGAGTGTGCTCCACCCCGCCCCCAGGGAAACTCTCTGCGGTGAAAGGTGCTGGACTGTGAGCCCTAGAGACCGACGCCTTCCATCTAGCCCCAGAGAGGGGCTGCCTGGGCAGCTCTCCCTCAGCCCTGCCCTGTAGGGGGGTCCATGATCCAGTCAGTCCTTGTTCTCTACTGAGACCTATAGACTGGGACAGCTCTGAACCCACCTGGTCTTTGGGCTGTTTCACCTCTGAACCATCCCCATGAGGGGCTCTGTCTCACCTTGGCAGGGGGGGTGGGCTCTGGGCTAACAAGGCCCCTGGGTCTCTAGAGGTGCGGGTATCACTGACAGACTGTAGCTCTTAACAAGCACGTGGTGCTTTCAAAAAGCTGCACAGCATGTGGGCCCTGCCAGTACATGTCTGCAGCAGGGTCCAGGCAGGGTGGGAGACACGCTGCTGTCTTCCCTCACATGGGGCCATGTCCTCTGGAGACAAACCTGGTTCCCTGTCAGGGAACTCACCTTGGTGTTTGGAGGGGGTCGACTCGCTCAGCTGCCCCCTCAGACCCTGAGGCCGGGGAGACACCTGGATGCTTCGGGGCCAAACAACATGCCCAGCCCCCTCCCAGCCAGGCTTTGGACACCCAAGGGAGCACCCACAGTCCCTGTAGAAAACAGTATTTAGAGGTCGGAGTGGGGCATAGTCTGGGGGGTTAGTGTGGGGACAGATGGAGGTGGGGCAGAGTCTGGAGGGGTTAGTGTGGGGGTAGATGGCGGAGGGGTTTTCATTTTTCACATCTGACGCAGATGTCTGAAAAAAAAAAGATCTGTTAGCATTGGAAAAAGTATAGAGAAGGGCAACAAAAATGATGAGGGGTATGGAACAGCTTCCATATGAGGAGAGATTAAAAAGAGTGGGCCTGTTCAACTTGGATAAGAGATGATTAATGGAAGATATGACAGAGGTCTATAGAATCATGAATGGTGTGGAGACAGTGACTAGGAAACTGTTATTTACCCCTTCATATAACACAAGAACTAGGGGTTAGCCAATGAAATTAATAGGCAGCAGGTTTAAAACAAACAAAAGGAAATACTTCTTCACACAATGCACAATCAACCTGTGGAACTCGTTGCCAGGAGATGTTGTGAAGGCCAAAATTATAACTGGCTTCAAAAAACAATTAGATAAGTTCCTGGAGAATAGGTCCATCAATGGCTATTAGCCAAGACAACCAGGGAGGAAACCCCATGCTTGGGGTGACCCTAAACCTCCAACTGCCAGAAGCTGGGACTGGATGACAGGGGATGGATCACTGAATAATTGCCGTGGTCTGTTGATCCCCTCTGGAGCACCTGGCATTGGCCTCTGTCAGAAAACAGGATATTGGGCCAGATGGCCCATTGGTCTGACCCAGTATGGCTGTTCTTATGTAAACTCCACTCCCCAACGGATTCATTCCATACCCTGACACCTGTCTCAAAGCACCCCTGGAACTCGCTGCCTTTCCTTGGGTTCCCACTGCCTCGGTGTTTCCTGTGTCCACTCTACATCAGTGGCCTGGGGAGTACAAGGAGAGGGGCTGCTCCTAGGGAAAACCCTTTTAAGCTGAGGCGCTCTGGACATCTAGAGAGAAGGTGCCATCAGCATCTCACAAACTACTCTCCACAAGCACCTATAGGAAATGAGCTAAAGACAGGGCAGATTTGGGTGACTTGGAGCTGGGGGGAGCAGGGTGGGAGAGGACTCTGGGGGGAGTGGGGTTTAGTGGTCAGAATAGGGGGAACTGAAGATGCCCTTTTGCTGGTATCGTCTGGCTGGAGAGTCTGCTGAGAAGTATGATGCACACATGAAATGCAGAGCCAATTTGTACGCATGGGAAGGGGGCGGTTCCAGTGGTTAGAGGAAGGGACAGAGACAGGGTTCCTTGGTTCCATTCCCAGCTCTAGGAGAGAGTGGAGTCTAGCAATTAGATGAAGGGGCAGACTGAATCAGAACTCCTGGGTTCTATCTTTAGCTCTGCCAGCTGCCTTTGAACAACTACCTAATCGCTCTGTGACTCAGTTTACCCACAGTGCAGGGATGATGACAACCCTTCTCTGCTTGCTGGGTTCTTGTTGAGGCAGAGCGCTCTTTGTGGTCCGGTCTCTGTGACACTCTGACCCGCTGCTCCCATTCCGTCACAGGTTCAGTACCAGAAGTGTCTGGTGGCCTCCACCTCGCGGCTGAGGCCGAAGGGCAGCTCACGCTCGGTGCTTAAGATGAAGAGAACGGCATCTGTGGACTCCCCAGGATGCCCGTTCCTTTCCACGGGCCACTCCCTGCAGAAAAACGGCAGCGGCGCCAGCACTCGGAAGCGGGGGGTTTTCTCGTTCTTGGAAGCGTTCCGGCAGAAGCATTCCATGCTGCACACCCCATAGGGCGCACCTGTGGGGCAGGGGGGGCAAGGCAGCAGGCTCCTTGGCTGGCTTGTGTAAATAGAGTAACCAGATCTGTTGGCTCTCCCTGCAGCTAAGGCCCGACAGACCCAAAGAGCGAGTCCATTCCCCACAGGGAAAGCCCCGGCTGGCCACAGAGGCAAGGCCAGAACCCAATAGTCCTTTGCTTTGCAGATAACCCCCTGGGGAGGGAGGTGGGTGTGGGGGGCTTTGGGGAGTAGCAATGACCCAGCACATGTATGGTTCCAAGCAGGGAATGTTTCTTAATATCCGGAGCAGCCAACAGCGAACATGACACGCAGGCCGAAGGCAACCACCTTCTGCCCTTGCTGGGAGTCCGGGGTGGGCAGATGTTCCAGTCAGGGCACAGCTCCTTGGGATTCACTTTGGAATGGGACCTCAACTTGATTGTAGCTGAAGGCCGTGGGCGCTGCTGCCACCACAGCAAGAAGGGTTGGTGTATCGCCAGGACCCATAGAGCCAACAGAGGGGATTCACCTCCTCAGCCCTGGCTCTTCCAATGAACCCCTTTGATTTTCTGACAGCAATATGGAGGGCAGGCACAGGCCATGGGCCTGTGTCTACTGGCTGCAGATACGAGGAAAAGCCTTTTGCAGGCAACTGACTAACCATCCCCCCCTGCCACGCTCTGAAAGAATGATCTGCTCCCTTTCCCACTTCATTTAATAGCTGGTAACATGGTGCTGGGAATGGTAGGAGGCCTGTGGGAAGGGAGGGCTCTATTTCGCCCTCCTGCTGTGAATTGTTTTAATTCTAAACAAATTCTTGCCTCCTTTGCTCTTAAAAATATCAGTGGCAGCAGCCTAGGTGCTTAGACACAATCCTACCAAAACAAACCATTGAGCACTACTTAGTGATCACATGCAAACCCACAGCAACAAACTGGTGCACACAGCCCCAATAACTGTGTGTGTGTAGCACCAGCGCTCACAGAACGCCAGCACATGCGGCCCAGCACACGGGAGCAGCCCTTCCGTAACAAGCCCATGCCCAGGTACCGATACCCTGGTGCCCAAGGCCTGGCACTGATACACCAGTGCTCCTGTGAAGGACAACTCTCATTTTAAAGGTAGGAAAAGAAAATCAGTGTTGGTCTTCTAGTGGGTTGTTATGAGCTGGTGTGAATTCCTACTCCTCCAGGGGGAGCCCATGTGTGAATTCCCACCAAGCCTAGTGGGTACCTGGCTCAGCCGTGTCCAGAGCGGGCCAGTTGGGGCTGTAATTGTTAGGTATAGTATGGACCAGCTGTCCTTCCAGCTGCAAGCCAGTCACACATTACCTGCTGGTTCCTTAAAGGGATTGTTCTCTTGCCCAGTTTGGAAATCACTTTAATCTGTCTTTACGCCCATATTTCTTTACACTTGCCTGTCAGTTCCCTGGGGGAGCCCCCGTATGATAGACTAAAGTCTACCTCAGTAACACTTTCTATCTGATCATTTGTGCAAATAAAACACTAACATGCAGCAAGCACAAGCCAGCCCCATCTTTGCTTTATCCCCTTCCTGCTAAGGATTGGATTGGGGTCAGAACAAGCTGTAAGGGGTGCGGGGAGGGGAAAGGAACTTTTCTGCTACACAGACGTAGGAAGATAGGAACCACCAGACTGGATCAGACCCATGGTCCATCTAGTCCAGTAGCCTGTCTCTGGCAGTGGCTGGCACCAGATGCCTTAGAACAGTGGTGCTGGAACAATTTTTATAGTGGACGGTGCTAAAGGTGGAAACCATGTTGTAGCGAAGTGCAGACTCACTGGCACGGTGCCTCCTACTGGTCGTCTTGTGAATTAGCTCAACTCCAGCTCTGGAGCACCTCCTTCTGGCCGGTGTCTCGCCTGCCTTAGGCCCTGTGTCCCTCCTGGACCCCAGTGCCCCTTTACCTTGGGCTACTGCCAGCCATCAGCTAGCCTCCTTTCCCTGGGGCAGACTGCAGTCTATAGTGGCCACGCATCACTGGCAAGGGGGTAGGACCTGCTGCCTCTGCCTATTCCCAGAATACACCTCTGTAGCCCCAGTACCTTTGTAGGCCTTCACTAAGGCCTGCAGTCTGGGGGTTTACCAGGCTGGAGCTCCCAAGCGCCTCTTGCCCTTCCCCAGCACTGCTCTATTTCAGGTACCTTGCGCTCAGGCAGCTAGCCCTTCCCACTCCAGGGCTAGAGTGAGACTTCTTTGTCTCATCGCCCCACAGCCCTTTTATCCAGGCCAGTTGTGGCCTGATTAAGCCAGCCACACCTGGGGCCAACTACCTCGCCAGCCTCCCCCTCAGCTGCTCTTAATGCTTTTCCTAGCCGCAGCCCTCTCCAGGCCTGCTTTTAACCCCTGCCTACTGGAGTGGGGCAGCTGCCCCACTACACATGTATTTGGGTTGTTACTACTTCAAGCCAGGGGGCGCAGTAGCACCCCCAGAAACAGCACCTATGCCTCAGAGGAAGGTGCAAGAAACCCCACAGTAGGGAGCATGGGTGGCTTGTAATGGAGGTTTGGGGAGGCTTAGCTTCCCCAACCTCCACTAATGCTTCACACCATGGCCTGGGGGCTAGGCCATGGTAGGGCTCAGAGCTCCTCTGGGCAGCCAGGGCTTGAGGCTCCTCCGACTTGTCGTGGCTTGGGGTGTTGGGCCGAGGGTGTCTCAGGTGGGTGGGCTGGGGCTCAGGGAGGTGGGCTGGGGGTGGCTCAGCCGGGGCTCCGGCTGTGGTGTGGGATTCAGAGCTCCTCTGGTACCAGCGGGCAAGGGAGTGGGAGGGGAGGAGCGGAAGGGGCAGGGTAGGGGTGGGGCCTCAGGTGGAAGGGGCAGGGCAGGGGGCTTCAGGGCCGCCCAGAGGATTCAGGGGGCCTGGGGCAAAGCAATTTCGGGGGCCCCTTCCATAAAAAAAGTTGCAATACTATAGAATACTATATTCTCGTGGGGCCCCTGTGGGGTCTGGGGCAAATTGCCCCACTTGCCCCCTTGGGAGGCCCTGGGGGGCTTGCCTCCCCAAATGGGGTTCATGTGCCACCCATGGTAGGCAGATGGAGGATAATCTGCCCCCCACCAGATGGATGGGATTGAAATACAAACCTACAGTGTCAGAGGCTGTGAATCAGTCCTTCATTGGACACCCTCTGCCGCTGAACTGGTGCCTGAGACTCTCCATGTGCCTCATACCTCAAGCAGACTTCTTGGGAAAAATGACACGGGTGAAATCCTGGCTCCACGGAAGTCAATGGTAAATTTGATTGCTGCAGTGGGGCCAGAACTGCCAAGCTAAACCACTTACAAATTCCCTGTCTAATCATGGCTCCAAGCTTGCCACATTGCGCTGGTGCCAAGTATGCAGGGCCAGCACTTGGGAAGGAGACCGCCAAGAAACAGCTAGGGCTGTAGGGGGTAGTCTTGGTAACTCAACAGGGGGTGCTCTTCCATAACATCCCAGCATGGTGATAGGGTGTGGGGGGTACTGGACTGCTGGAAAAGTCATCTTTCAAAACAGATTAAATACTGAGGTTCTGACTAGTTGAGTCATCAAAAATCCCATGGCACTTTTGGTAAGATCACTGTCATTTGTATTGTCATCCACAGACAAAGAGGACCAGGGCCCTTTGTGCTAGACACTGTACATACACACAATAGGAGACAGTCGCTGCCCCGCTAGCTGGATGCACCGACTTGCCATCTGGTATCAGCGTTTGGTGCTGATCACAGGCATTCCTAGGGGCTAACCATTCTCGGCTAACCATTCTCAGCTAACCGTTTATGACAGTCCGGAGGACAGACAAATGTCTGGTGGAGGCTGGCATAATTGGCAAAGACACAACAGCAAACAGGGAAGGGTTAAGTAGTGAACAAGGGAGAAGGGAGAGCAGGAGGAGGGGCTTATACAAGGACATGATCAGGTCAGCACAAGGAGCTGGGAACAAGCCCTTGGTAGCAGTGCTGCAAATGGAGCGAGAGGTTGACCCAGATGTCAGAAAGGCCCGAGAGGAGGCAGGTGCAGTTGTCAAGATGGAAGATAAGGGTCTGGGTGCAGAAAGAGAACTGGTTGGCTTTTGTAAGAACCAGTTTTTGTGGTGGAAAATAGGGCAAGATCTGGCAGCAGGCTCAGGCTGGCTGAGGCAAGGGGGACCCCAGGTTACAGGTTCGAGTGCCAGGGAGGCTGGTGGCACTGTCAAGGTGATGGGGCAGAAGGGGGTTTTTAGCAGGGAGGATAAGTATAGAATCATAGCATATCAGTGTTGGAAGGGACCTCAGGAGGTCATCTAGTCCAACCCCCTGCTCAAAGCAGGACCAATCCCCAACTAAATCATCCCAGCCAGGGCTTTGTCAAGCCTGACCTTAACAACCTCTAAGGAAGGAGATTCCACCACCTCCCTAGGTAACCCATTCCAGTACAGTATAAGTAGTTCAGTTTTGACCTCCTTCATCTGGTTGATGGTGAGACACCCAGGCAGAGAAGTGGGGCGGGATAAAGGGCGGCAGGATAAATAGGAGACAGTGGGGATAGCTCAGTGGTTTGAGCATTGGCCTGCTAAACCCAGGGTTGTGAGTTCAATCCTTGAGGGGGCCATTTAGGGATCTGGGGCAAAAATCTGTTTGGGGATTGGTCCTGCTTTGAGCACGGGGTTGGACTAGATAACCTCCTGAGGTCCCTTCCAACCCTGGTATTCTATGAATCTATGAAACCAGAGGGAGGCAGGTTTGCGAGTCATCAACACAGAGATGGCTGCTGAAGCCAGATAAGGCTGGCCAACGACAGGGTGCAATGGATACCCGTGAGACAGCGAGCGCGGCCTGGGGATAGCAGGGCCCCCGGACATGGAGGCAGTGAGCCCGCCCCTGGAGCAGTGGGGCCTGTGACAGCCGGGCCGGAGATCGCTCCTGCAGGGATCTGGCTGAAGGGCCCGGAGGGGCCGGCTCCGCAGCTGGCTCTGCAGGGGCGGGGTCCCCAGCGCTGCCCGCGGGGCAGTGGAGTAAAGCCCCGGCTCTGG